AATTACAAAATCTAACTATACACCAAACGCGAACAAAACACGAAAATTCACAGATTTATAAAAAGCAAATCACAAATCGCAAAATCCAAATATACACCAAGCGTGAAATCACAAATCACGAAGCTCCACAATAATGCATTAACAAATCGCAAAGTTCCACAGAAATCCAAATCACAAACCCAAACCCAAACCCAAACTCACATCATAGTATTTTGATAGCAAAAATCAAATAGAAGCGCGCCAAAATAAGGGAAAACAAAACAGGGATAAAGCATGTACAAAAAAAAAACTCTAGAACCTATTGATGCACAACATCAATATTCAGAACTAAAAAAGAAATAATTATAAAAAGTAGGGCTGACCAGTAAAAATCCCTATCTTTCACCGCCCAAACTTTCTACGACACTGCAAAAGAAAAAAAAAAAAAGAAAAAAGGCGCATTTTCCACAATTTTTTATATCTTAGTAAAAGTATAAAATAAAAAATATACTTTTTAGAAATGTAGGTAAAAACAGGGTCGCCAAGATTTATGGCTATTGTAAACCTTGAGGTGGTTTAGAAAGTTAAGTTTTGTTTGGCATAACTTATTTTAGTTTATCTTTTTATTTTATTTGGATTATATTAATCAATATTTTTTCTTTATTTTTTTACACATCTTTTTATAAAAAAGTCAAAAAATGTACTTATTTAAGACAAATTTGGTTTTTTGATTTTTTTTATTATTTTTTTGACTATTTTATGGGGAAAGTCATATAATATAAAATGAATTAAAAGTTGACTTTTAATTTTTTTTTAAACTTTAATTTGGTTTTTTGATTTTTTTTATTATTGTTTTGACTATTTTATGGGGAAAGTCATATAATATAAAATGAATTAAAAGTTGACTTTTAATTTTTTTTTAAACTTTAATTTGGTTTTTTGATTTTTTTTATTATTTTTTTGACTATTTTATGGGGAAAGTCATATAATATAAAATGAATTAAAAGTTGACTTTTAATTTTTTTTTAAACTTTAATTTGGTTTTTTGATTTTTTTTATTATTTTTTTGACTATTTTATGGGGAAAGTCATATAATATAAAATGAATTAAAAGTTGACTTTTAATTTTTTTTTAAACTTTAATTTGGTTTTTTGATTTTTTTTATTATTTTTTTGACTATTTTATGGGGAAAGTCATATAATATAAAATGAATTAAAAGTTGACTTTTAATTTTTTTTTAAACTTTAATTTGGTTTTTTGATTTTTTTTATTATTTTTTTGACTATTTTATGGGGAAAGTCATATAATATAAAATGAATTAAAAGTTGACTTTTAATTTTTTTTTAAACTTTAATTTGGTTTTTTGATTTTTTTTATTATTTTTTTGACTATTTTATGGGGAAAGTCATATAATATAAAATGAATTAAAAGTTGACTTTTAATTTTTTTTTAAACTTTAATTTGGTTTTTTGATTTTTTTTATTATTTTTTTGACTATTTTATGGGGAAAGTCATATAATATAAAATGAATTAAAAGTTGACTTTTAATTTTTTTTTAAACTTTAATTTGGTTTTTTGATTTTTTTTATTATTTTTTTGACTATTTTATGGGGAAAGTCATATAATATAAAATGAATTAAAAGTTGACTTTTAATTTTTTTTTAAACTTTAATTTGGTTTTTTGATTTTTTTTATTATTTTTTTGACTATTTTATGGGGAAAGTCATATAATATAAAATGAATTAAAAGTTGACTTTTAATTTTTTTTTAAACTTTAATTTGGTTTTTTGATTTTTTTTATTATTTTTTTGACTATTTTATGGGGAAAGTCATATAATATAAAATGAATTAAAAGTTGACTTTTAATTTTTTTTTAAACTTTAATTTGGTTTTTTGATTTTTTTTATTATTTTTTTGACTATTTTATGGGGAAAGTCATATAATATAAAATGAATTAAAAGTTGACTTTTAATTTTTTTTTAAACTTTAATTTGGTTTTTTGATTTTTTTTATTATTTTTTTGACTATTTTATGGGGAAAGTCATATAATATAAAATGAATTAAAAGTTGACTTTTAATTTTTTTTTAAACTTTAATTTGGTTTTTTGATTTTTTTTATTATTTTTTTGACTATTTTATGGGGAAAGTCATATAATATAAAATGAATTAAAAGTTGACTTTTAATTTTTTTTTAAACTTTAATTTGGTTTTTTGATTTTTTTTATTATTTTTTTGACTATTTTATGGGGAAAGTCATATAATATAAAATGAATTAAAAGTTGACTTTTAATTTTTTTTTAAACTTTAATTTGGTTTTTTGATTTTTTTTATTATTTTTTTGACTATTTTATGGGGAAAGTCATATAATATAAAATGAATTAAAAGTTGACTTTTAATTTTTTTTTAAACTTTAATTTGGTTTTTTGATTTTTTTTATTATTTTTTTGACTATTTTATGGGGAAAGTCATATAATATAAAATGAATTAAAAGTTGACTTTTAATTTTTTTTTAAACTTTAATTTGGTTTTTTGATTTTTTTTATTATTTTTTTGACTATTTTATGGGGAAAGTCATATAATATAAAATGAATTAAAAGTTGACGTTGCACCTTCTCCATTATCTGTTGGAGGAGATATATATGTTCGTGAACATGTTCCTCCGCTTCAACCTCTTCCTCCCTTTCATCATCTTCCTCGATCTTTGCCCATGGGTGGTAATTACATTCCTCCACCATTGATGTATCCCACATACCATGTAAGTCTTACTTTAACATTGTATTTTTTGTGTGGATATAATATGTGACTCAAACCATAACTGAAAGCATATATGCATTGTTGTAGGCGAACAATTTGTGGGAGATGTATGTGGTGCCAAATTATTTGCCAACTTCAATGGCTCAACGGCATTCTGCTCAACCAACATTCCAGTCACTACTACAAGGTTCATGTGGATATGACATTGGGTTTCGATATTCTCAAGAATCAACTACTACAATGTGTAGTCAGGTTCGTCTTTGCTATCTTTTTAATTTTTATTATATTTATAGTTGTTGAAAATTCCGTCATACCATGTATTCACTTGTTGAGAAATTTGAACATTTTCCCTTTTAGGCTATGGACAAGCAGAAACAGAGGCGAACTGATGCTGAAATTGGGCTGAACAGTGAAGTCATAGCCTCTAAAATTGATGGTTATTCTGTCGCTGCTGGAAAGTGATGGTTATTCTGTTGCTGCTGGAAAGTCATACATTAGTCTTTTTAATCGATTGTATGTGTTAATGGGTTGAAGCAATGTAACATTTTTGATGGACCAATGTTTTAATTTAACTTGTTATGGATTGTATGTGTTAAACTGTTATGGTGTACATTTGATATGTTTTTTTTTTATGTGGTACGGACATGATTCTGTTTTCGTACATTTGATCTTTATTTGTGGACATGTTCTGTTTTTGGACATGATCTGGTTTTGGACATGATCTGTTTTTGTGAAGTGTGAAATGTGTTGTAATGGTTATGTGAAGTGTGAAGTGTGAAGTGTGAAGTGTGAAGTGTGCTGCTGATATGCACAGGTCTGGTTGTGTGGACCAATGTTTTAATTTAACTTGTTATGGATTGTATGTGTTAAACTGTTATGGTGTACATTTGATCTGTTTTTTTTTATGTGGTACGGACATGATTCTGTTTTCGTACATTTGATCCTTATTTGTGGACATGTTCTGTTTTTGGACATGATCTGTTTTTGTGAAGTGTGAAATGTGCTGTAATGGTTATGTGAAGTGTGAAGTGTGAAGTGTGCTGCTGATATGCATAGGTCTGGTTGTGCAATTATTTTGCTGGTATGCACAGGTCTTGTTCTACAATTATTCTGCTGGTATGCACAGGTATTATGGTTCTGCATGCTTCTGGTTCTGTGAAGTTTAAGGGAAAAAAAATGAACCATTGCAGAATTTTTGATCTGGTATGCAGTGGACGAGCAAAATTTTGGTTCTGCATGCTTCTGGTTCTGCTCTGGTGTTTTGATTACATAGAGAACTTGGTGACTTGTGAGTGAATGTTTAGGGAGATAGAGAGTGAGAAATGAGGAATAAGTGCAGATGTAAGTTCTGGTTGTATGTACCCTCTTCATCATTGAGCATCAGATTTCCAGAAAGCAAGTCATTGTGAGCAAACACCTGCACTTAAAATAATGACCATTGCAGAATTTTTGATCCATAACAGAGGCAAAACCAAATAATATAAGTGCAGGATTTTTTATCCATAACAGAGGAAAAACCAAGTCATTGGCTGTATGGTTCTAAATGCATGGTTCTGAATGGTTCTGAATGTATGGTTGATGTATGCTGGGTGTCTTTTTTTTGGTTGTTCTCTGGTTCCTCTGCTCTCAAAGGTTTTTGGGGCTGTTTAATCTGGTTTTGCATGCTTCTAGTTCTGCATGCTTCAGGGTTGGTGATGTACACCAGTTTTGCACAGCAATTATGCTGGTTCTGATCTGTACACCAGTTATGCTGGTTCTAATCTGTATTCATTGTTTCTGGTATGCTGGACACTTAGAGCACTAGAAGTGTGTGAGGTGTGAAGTGTGAAGGATGTACAGAAATGCTAGTATGGTGTGAAGTGTGTGAGGTGTAAAGTGTGAATCATGGTTTCATATGGTTCTTGTGAATTCATTCTGCTGGTATGGTGTACACCAGTTTTGCACACCAGCAACATGTACACCAACATAATATTTTCTGCTACTTCACAATTAGATCACTCAAAGGTATTAACACTGAAGAACTGTTGATAAATTACTAAAAGTGAACAATTATAATTTGGTTCATATGCAACAGAACATGTGAAATGTGCCTATGCAAAATAAACAGTAGCAGATTTCACAACCAACATACATGCAGAACCAGCCTACAAAAAACCATGTCACAGATTGTCCTGTAAATGAAAACATTCCCAAGTTCATAAAATCCAAGTCATTCCCAAGTTCATTAAATCCACTAGGACAATAAACCATTTAAAAACCATCTCAAATCATTCCCAACTTCCCAAATTCCATTCATAAAAACATCATAAAGTACAAACATCATAAATCCATAATAACATTAGTTAAATTTTTCGGATACTAACATTACATCATAAAGTAGATTACATCCATAAATCCATAATAACTTTAAATCCATAAATCCATAATAACATTACATCATAAAGTACAAAAGTAAAGCAAATACAATCAAATACACCATCGCCTTCAAAATATTTTCCACCATTCGAAGCCTTCGACCATAGTCGCCATGTTCATTTTCCACGTCATACAGCCTCCTCCTCAGCTCGTTAAAGTCTTCTACTGTAACACCATCAGAAGCTCTAGTGTTGGAACGGATTGTGGAAGTCACATCTTCGTCATCTTCAGCCACGAACTTGAAGTAATTGCAATTGGGATTTTCAGTCTACAATGCAACCAACAATTAGTTAGTCTATTAAAACAAATTAAATTGTGACTACTTACATATTTAATATTTCCAATACAATACTTACATATTTTGATGGGCAAACAAAGAACAAACGCCCTTTATTTCCATTCTCATTAGTTTTTACGATATGTATGGCAGCTGTTCTTCCACAATTGCACATTCTCGGTTTTAATCTTATGTTGCTGTTGTCATTAGAAGAAGAAGCCATTTCTAAATCTACATCGACAATACAACACAAACAGTCAGCCCTCGAGAAACCAATTTAGTTTTGAAACCAACATTGTAGTGGACTCATAAAAACCTATTCTATCTGTTATTCAGCATTCTAGTTCTACATACAAATTGATTAGGTCTCAAAGTGTTTAGTTGCACTGAATTCAGGAAAACAATGCTACTGCCCTTCTCATGATCTAATAAACATATAATTATGTGTTTTTTTTTTGTCTTTTAAGATTCTTGTCTTTTATAACTAGATTTTTGTCTTTTAAGATTCTTACATGATCTAATAAACATATAATTATGTGTTTTTTTTTTTGGTTTAATAATATAACAAAATGTATCACTTTACATTTAGTAAAGAAAATTGAAATCCAAACTAATAATTCAGCAAGACATGATCTATCAGAGTTGACAAAAAGAGAGTGTCGTATAAAAATGAAATTAAAGAGAAGTTCAAACTAATAGGTAAATTACAAGTTTAATAATATAACAAAATGTATCACTTTACATTTAGTAAAGAAAATTGAAATCCAAACTAATAATATAACAAAATGTATCATAATCTTAGACTGATTCAACAAATAAATTGATAATTTCATAATTAATAATCTTATAAATATGCTTTGTTATGGTTTTGCCCTGACCTCCTTTTCTAGGGTCATACAGCCCAGGTTTCAATTTCACATTTGTTTTGATTTTTCATTAATTATGTGTCTTATGCTTGAATGGATACCTTTTAACCTTGGTAAGGCTGTGGTGCACTGTGCAGAGACACAAATATGAACCCAAAAAAAATAAAAACTACTTTCAATTGTTGCCAAACTAAATACGCTTGCAAGGATTGCCATCAATGGTGGTTGCTACTTTTGAAGACATGGGTGTGCATTAGGAGCAAGTGGGAACTCCAGTTTTTGAGTCAACCATTGAGCTTTCTAATGTAATCCTTAGTTCAACATGACTTGCAGATTGCAGATTGTTAGTTCAACATATAAAATTACATTAAGACATGGAGCAGAGTAATCAAAAAAATTTAGCCATCGATACATTAGCCAAAAATAAATGGCAATACAAAGTGAGTGGCTGTGAATATAAATCACCGTTGATAGTGGTGACACTAACTCCATGTTCATATTTAGTTGAAATTCACTATTTCAATAAAAAAAACAATTTCACATTTGTTTTGATTTTTCATTAATTATGTGTCTTATGCAATGCTACATTTCTTATCAATCAATTGGTTAGTGGATTATTGGAGGTTATTGTCAATATATTTATCATTAAAAACAAATTTTGGCCCTTAATCAAAATGTGCTCTATGAGAGACTTGACAAAATCTTTATTCTAACCTTCTAGAGTGGAGTTGAGTGTATTGACTCTATATACTTTTAAAATCTAGATTCTAGTACTCTTTATTTGGAAATAATGAATTTATCATGTGCCTATTTTTTATTGTGAAATCATAATTCTAATACTCTTATTTGAGATTGTTAGTTCCACACATAATAAAAGAAAATATGGACATAAGGATTGTCAAAAATCCAGATTGCAGCTTGCAGCTCTCAACATGACTTGCACCTTGCAGATTGTTAGTTCAACATATTTGCAAATTGTTAGTTCAACATGACTTGCAGATTGCAGATTGTTAGTTCAACATATTTGTAGTGAAATATGTAGAAAATGTATATAAACAAATGATCTCAAATTTGGAATTAAACCCAGTTGTGTGTTTTGTTATGATATTGTTTACAATCAGAAATAGGTATTCCATGATATGACATTGCTAATTTTTCTCACAATCTATTCGAAATCATGGTATATCATGGTATAAAAATTAGTAAGACATATTAGCAATGCTGGGTTTGGAGTATATAAATCATGGTATACCTATTTCATGGTATATAAATCACATAGTATACAATGGAAGGTCTTACCATTGATATCATACAATACCATGGTATATAAAAATTAGCAATGTTTGGAGTATATAAATCATGGTATACCTATTTCATGGTATATAAATCACATAGTATACAATGGAAGGTCTTACCATTGATATCATACAATACCATGGTATATAAAAATTAGCAATGTTTGGAGTATATAAATCATGGTATACCTATTTCATGGTATATAAATCACATAGTATACAATGGAAGGTCTTACCATTGATATCATACAATACCATGGTATATAAAAATTAGCAATGTTTGGAGTATATAAATCATGGTATACCTATTTCATGGTATATAAATCACATAGTATACAATGGAAGGTCTTACCATTGATATCATACAATACCATGGTATATAAAAATTAGCAATGTTTGGAGTATATAAATCATGGTATACCTATTTCATGGTATATAAATCACATAGTATACAATGGAAGGTCTTACCATTGATATCATACAATACCATGGTATATAAAAATTAGCAATGTTTGGAGTATATAAATCATGGTATACCTATTTCATGGTATATAAATCACATAGTATACAATGGAAGGTCTTACCTAATTTTGAAATTCCAAATCTAAAAGCCCTAAATTTTTTCAGACGTTTCAAAATCCCAAATCAAAGCCCTAATTTTGAAATTCCAAATCTGAAAATCCCTAAATTTGTTCAGAAATTCGAACTCTAAAAGCCCTACATTTTTTCAGACTCCTAACTTCTTAATTTCAGACGTTTGAAGACCAACCTGGTTCGTGATCTATGCTGAACTGATGGTGGTCGTCGCGGTGGAGTTCACGCAGCGTAGAGGCTGAAGCGGTGGAGCTGTGGTCGTCGTGGGGTCGCCGTTGGGACTGGTCGCCGGTTCGCCGGTGAGGGTAGGTTCGGTGGACGACCACGATCGACTGTAAGGCTCATTGAAACTGAGAGAGTGAGAGAGTGAGACAGTAAGGCTGTGTTGTTGTTTTGTTTGGGCGGGAACTCAAAAAAATTTAAATTTTTTTTTTTTTTTTTAATAATCTCAGCCGTTGGATGACCAACAGCTGATCTGAGCCGTTGCCCGCAGGAACTCAAGGACCCTCCTCAAGGAGAGGATCCGAACTCTGATTTGATGCCTATGTGTCTGTTTCACATTTCATAAATGTGTTGGTATTAAAATTGATGAAGGTTTTTATTTTTCCCTAATTTAATTTTAACCAAGTTAGTTTAATTAGCTACTTATCATGAAATTGTTTATTGTTTTATTTATCTGTTCTAATTTTTTTTAAAAAAAATTAGCAGTGGAGATTTTAGAAAGGCAAATGCTAACAAGTGTTTTTTTTATGTATTGTTTAATGTTGAAAAATGTGTATAAAATATCTTGAAAATATGTAAAAATCTTAAAAAGTATATTGATTTAGTAGAAGTGCATTGAATTTAATAAAAAAATATCTTCTTCAAATTTTTTATTTTTTGCTTTTATCCTAAAGACACTTATTAGCAACACTTTTTTTTTTTATATAAATGTTGTACTATGATTATATTTAGATACTAGTGGGTGGCACACACGATGTGTGTGCAATTTAAATAAGTAGGAATAAAAAATAATAATAATGAAATTAATATTATAATGTGTACTTAGCTTAAGTGGTATGAGTTCTTGTACTTAAACCCATGGTCATGGGTTCAAGCCTTGCCCATCTCTTTGTTTAAGTTTTTTTTAAAAAATAAAAAATACTGCCACATGACATGAAGAGAGCCTTGCCCATCTCTTTGTTTAAGTTTTTTTTAAAAAATAAAAAATACTGCCACATGACATGAAGAGAGTAAAGCTTCAGGACACCAAAGTTCCTGTTCACTTTATAATAGTATAGATAAATAGATAATTAGCCCAAGTTTGGGAAGTTACTAAAAAGTCAAAAAGTCAAAAATATATTCAAAAATTTTAAAAGTTATCACTATTCACCAAAAGTAAAAAATTACGACTGCACAACTCTCAATCCTATTTTTCTTCTACACACTAATTTATATAATTTTTTAATACATATTTTTCCATAAAAAGTCAAAAAGTTAACTCAAACAACCATATTTTTTCCTCAACATTTTAATCTAAAAAAAATAAAAAATACATTTATTTAAAACACCCCAAACAATCCCTTATTTTAGTAACAAATAAAGTCGTACTTGACATATTCTTAGGACACATATCAATAAAATTTAAAAACATTATATATATTTTTTATTACACACAGTTTTATATAGATAATCTTATAATTTTTTTTTATATAGATAATCTTATAATTTTTTATTACACACAGTTTTATATAGATAATCTTATTATAATAGGGTTATCAACAATGATTCATTCCCCCTTTTTTTCCCACCCCTTTGACCCCCGTCTCTTTCATTGGTTACATTTTTTTTTTTTTTCCTGCTCCTCCAATCACCACCCGCCACGTGACAAAGGAGTGAGGGGGTGACCCCCAAAAAAAAGTCCCAAGCATTATTCATTACCATCTAAGTGGGTGTCAGGGAGAAAAAAAAAAAATAAATTCATAAATAAATTTACAAAATTAATTATTAATATTTGTAAAGTTACAGATATTTTTCCTCTTATAATTTCTTACCAATTAAAAAGAAAAATGTCAACTAAACTGGTAAGCAGAGCTAGGGCAGTTTCGAAATCGGTGATATAAGCAGTCTGAGAGTTCACAGAAGGCGGTTAGGGCGTAAACGAAAGAAACTTGCCGAAGAAGAGGGCTTTCCTTCTTCGACCATAAAACCCTAATCTTATCTTCATTCCAACAACCAAAAGAAGGTACCTTACCATTATCAGATCCCAGCTTTTTCAAAACCCTAGTTTTTGCCTTTTGTTTTGTTTGTTATCTGGCTTGTGTGTGTTTTGGGGTCAGGAAGACATGGATCGGTACCAGAGGGTCGAGAAGCCAAGAGCCGAAACACCGATTGACGAGAATGAAATTCGGATTACGAGTCAAGGAAGGATGCGAAGCTATATCTCTTATGCTATGAGTCTACTTCAGGTATTTGAATTGTTTGTTTAGTTTTTGCCTTTCTTTCTGATTATTCTTCTTGTTTTTTTAATAGTTGAATTCAATTTTGTTGTTTTTTTGCCAGACTCTACTGGTTTGTTCTACCATGTTGTTTATTTAAGTTGAAAATTTACTTGTTTTAGAAGCTACTTTAATGGATTTGGGTATGAGTATTATTGTCTATGTCTAGGCATGGGACACCCGTATACCAAATCTGAGGATGCATTTGTATATAATAATGCAACATTAGATGCTAGTATTATTTAAGTATATGCTTAAAATAAAGTAAGATTCAGTGGGAGAAAGGGCTTTTAATATCCTTATCCATCTGAGAAACACAAGGATTATATGCCGTAAAATATTGGGTTTTCTTCTTATTTCGTCATGAGATATTAAAATATGAGTTTCAATTTGTTTATAATAATATTGAGCCAATGAATTTGGAGAGGGTGACTGTAGTGGTCTCAAACACCTCCTTTTCTTTTCTTTTTTGGAACTTGATTTTTGGGTTATTGCTTCGTTAGTAAGTTGGACAAACCATTTTATTTAAACATTAGCTCTTCCATTTTTTCTCATTAAAGTTTAGAGTAAGATTTTTTTTATTAAAAAGGTTAAAAGTAAAGAGTTTTGAGTACCAATATTAGTTGGAATTGTGTTTGGCTACATTAGCCAATTGTGCACTTGCGGTGCGGATGTTTCAATACGGGTGGGTGGGCATGTTTTACGCTTGAACCCCTGCTCCTCTGCCCTTCTCTTCGTCCTTATGATGATTTGAAAGGGAGAGCAGAACGGAGAGGAATGCAGCTAGTTGGAGCATGGATCATGGTTATCAGAATGCCGATCCGGATCGTAGGATCTTATGATTCTACAATCTCAATTGAGCCAAATGATCTAGATCACACTAAGATCTTAAAATTAGTAAGATCTTAAAGTGACTATGATCCTTTTCATAAAATCGTGTAGAATCGCATCGCATACGATTCTGATTTTGCTACGATTCTAATCTTACATATTTTTTTTTGTTATTATTTATTTATGATATGTATTAATGTGTATATTTATATTTGAAATTTGACTATAAACTCATTTTTCAAATGTCTCTTATAATTTATGTTATCATAGAAAATGCATTATATCAAATTTATCTTTTTTCTTTAATCTTTTTAAAATTATGTAACATACATTATCATTAATTATAATTTTTCATTTTATTTTATATTGAATGTAGAATCCTACGATTCTTGATCCGATTCTACAATTTGATCGATGAGTCCCTCTCAACGATATCCCGATTTTAACAACCTTGGCATGGATTGGTTGAGTCAGTTGATGAGAGAGTTAACTCTGGTGATTGTGATTTATTCAACATATGGTTGATTGTGTTTTGTACTGTGCTGCTCTGTACCAGAATCAGTTTATGTTAGAATTTGTCCTTCAATTTTTGGTAAATTTATTGATGTTCATATAAAATTAACAGGATTCTTACAATGAAATTTGGATTAGTGTTTTTTTTTTTTTGTTTTTTCTTTTCTTATCAAAATGTTGCATTAGATGTGAATACTCCAACATGCAGTCCAGTTGATCACTGTTTTCAGTTGACAGCAACAAAATAATTAATATTAAATGGCTGCAACTTTTGAAAGATAAGTAATTTATACTATGGTTAGATCATTGCTTATCTTAAAGTATTTCATTTGGAGTTTACTAGCTGAAATTTATCCATTGTTTTGTGGGCTTGCAATATTCTGTTTGGTACCGATGACCATGCCTGTGTCATCAGGTTCATTCTGGAATGCTCTGATCTGTCTTTAAAATAAGTATTTTTTTTTGTTTACATTGCATGGTAAATGGGCACTAATATCATGAATCCTAGAGAAAAATATTTGCAGACCGTATCCATCATTTTTAGTTTTTGTTGCTTTGCATACCTAGAAGACCCAATATTATGATGTGCCCTGGCTCTATGTGGTGCTTGGCCTAAATGACATTGACTGCTGCTTTTGGAACAATTCTTGCAAGATGATAAATTGGTGTCAATTGCTTAGAAATGTTCACAATTGGATTACATGACATTGACCTGATATTGCAATTCATGATTATTTTTTCTGTTTTGAGGCCAGAGATTGGAAAGTTGGTATGCTATTATAATTGTAATTTTTAGAGTATTTGATATTCTCTGTTTTGCTGCTTGTTTGATGGTATACTCTCTAGGAAAAAGGTTCGACCGAGGTTGTGTTCAAGGCAATGGGTAGAGCTATCAACAAAACTGTAACAATTGTGGAGTTAATTAAGGTTTTCCTTTCTATTGATTTTCATTTCTTTGTTTACCTTTCTAGTTAGTGTTTTCGGTTTTCCTGTATGTTTAATGTATTACTAGGATTGTTCCCTGATGATTACTAAGGCTACTCAATGCACTGTAATACAGAGGAGGATTGTTGGTCTTCATCAAATTACATCAATTGGATCTACTGATATAACTGATACATGGGAGCCCCTGGAAGAAGGACTCCTCCCGTAAGGGTGCTCTGAACCTTATTTATATTTCAAATTTCTCAGTAGGCACTGGTCTATATTGTCATGGATTGCCTTATTGTAACAAAATTTGTCTCTTACATGGATATTTGTTTCGTCTGCAGTCTGGAAACCACAAGGCATGTTTCAATGATTACAATCTCTCTCTCAAAGGAGGAGTTGAATACATCCTCCGTTGGGTGAGTTAGTAAAATTTCATTTACTAAAGATATTCAATTGTTTGGCTTCCCGTAAATTTGTTTAACTTTTCTAATATGCAAATTGATTGGGAGTATGATATGATAATGAGCTAAATGACAAAAAAGTGTTTTTTTTATTTTTTATTTTGAAGTAGTTATTTTGATGAGCAAATGATTTTATGGCAAATTACCATTGTTCATGAGCGCTGATATATTCTTCATAACACATGAATTGCTACCTACTGCAGGTACCAGTCTCCACTACCAGCTGACCAGGTCAAGACATCAACCGAATTTGATTTTGAAGGAGGTAGTGCCAAATCAACTTCTGTGCACTTGTTCTTTGATTATTATTCATATGGGCATTTGTTGTGACATCTTTTGTTATGCAGAAGGATCACCTACTGGTCGTGGAAGGGGCCGTGGTGGTAGAGGGAGGGGAAGGTCTAGAGCAGCGTATGGTATGAGATTGGATAAGATCCTTTTGATTTAATTTATTCCTGGAATTTTACTGAGGCAAAATTGGGTATATCAGTGGCTCTTACTGCATTAAAATTAGGTCCACTGCCATGGTCATTGAAATGAAAGCTTAATTTAAAATATTATTATAGGCAGATATTGTTAGGAGGTTGATGCAGTCCACAGCTGCTTGTCAAATCAACTTCTGTGCACTTGTTCTTTGATTATTATTCATGTGGGCATTTGTTGTGACATCTTTTGTTAGGCAGAAGGATCACCTACTGGTTGTGGAAGGGGCCGTGGTGGTAGAGGGAGGGGAAGGTCTAGAGCGGCGTATGGTATGAGATTGGATAGGATCCTTTTGATTTAATTTATTCCTGGAATTTTACTGAGGCAAATTTGGGTATATTAGTGGCTCTTACTGCATTAAAATTAGGTCCACTGTCATGGTCATTGAAATGAAAGCTTAATTTAAAATATTATTCTAGGCAGATATTGTTAGGAGGTTGATGCCGTCCACAGCTGCTTGTGAAAATGACAACTTCTGAGAGTTTTATTTTGATATGGCAGAAACTGAATTGAACGACCTTTAATAAGTTTGAAATATTTGAGCTGTTGGTTTCTAATGTCGTATAGAACTGGTGGTACTTTATGACATGACAGACGCATCTCATTTCAGGGAATGGATATGCAGCTCCTGAGTATGAGGATGGAGGTTGGGATAGGAATCGTGGTTATGCGAGGGGCAGGGGTCGAGGAAGAGGTCGTAACTTCCGTGGCCGTGGAAGAGGAGGGTACAATGGTCCTCAGATTGATAACCAGCAAGATGCAGGACATTACAACCAGGAAGGTCCTGCTCCAGGCCGTGGTATTACTTCGTATAATTGCTCTCTGTTTTTACATGATCTCATTAATTGCCAGTAGGTTTTGTGCCCAGTTGCTAGACCAATCCTTCATAACTTTGCCAGACCAATCCTTCACCAGTAGGTTATGATTGCTTAGTCTGCCTGAAAAATAGGTGTAACCTGTCTTGCATTAATTGATTGATTGGGTTTGGTTCTAGTGGGGTTTATGGTATCTTGAAATCGGTAACAGAAATCTCTCCTCTTTCAAACTGTTATGAGCCCCCAGTCGCTTTCTTCATAGGCAATTCACGGACCTCTTTTTTATTATTATGAACTTTTCCTAAACCTTGGTGGTTCTTCGTTCCAGAATTTCTTTTGCTTTATATTTGGTAAAATATGAGAACTGATATGGTCAATTAGGCTTTAAGACCATGGTTATCAAAATCCGGATTGTAGGATCATACGAACCTAAATTGCCAAGACGATTCAAATTGTTGTATAATTGGAGTTATAGCAGAATTGCAGGTAGAATTGTGTAGGATTATGGAGTTTTTGATTTTTTATCTTATTTTTAATATGCATCATCCTGATTTTTATTTTTACCTTATTTTTAATAGAAAATATAATTTTACGAACCTTAATATGATTCAGGGATGTTCACGGGTCAGTTTGGATCGGGTTTACCCTAAGACCGTCAACCAAACCGAATGTGTCAGGTTAGAGAAATTGCCACCTACTGCCGGCCGTCAGCATATTCAAAATTGACCGTGGCCCACCATTCAGATTGGTCGTTGGTTCGGTCGGCGAGACATGAAAAGAAATCAATCCACTTCCCACTCTTTCTCAGGTTGTAATTCAAACAAAAATCAAATTCGAACATGTATAAATGGAGTAAAAGAGATTCAAACAAATATATTAAATATGCAAATAAATTTGAGAAAGAATAGTGGAATGGTAGAGATAGACTCACCATCGCCTAAATATGAGCAACATTCATCACCGTCGGAGTAAATCTGAGCTTCATTGTCGCCGTCGACTAGCACCATTGCCACTAGAGAGGGAGATTAAGAGCAGAAAAGGGGTTTCCAGTGAGAGGGATTGTGTCACTGTGAGAGGGAGATGAGGGTGAGATGAGAGTATGAAAGATCACCATTGTCGCCGAGAGAGAGAAGAAGAAGAAAGTGGTTTTTGGGAAGGAGACGAGAAGGGTGAGAGATAGACTGTAATAGAGAAATGTGGATGAGAGAGGATATTGAAGAGGCATGAGAGAGAGAGAGAGAGAGAGAGAGAGAGAGACTGAAACGGTGGGAGAGAAACGAGGGTGAGAGACAAAGAGACTGAAGCAGTGGGAGAGAAATGAGGGTGACAGAGAGGAATTGAAGTAGCATGTCAAACTGTTCAAAAAAAAAAAAAAAAAAAAAAAAAAGGCGCGACAGAGACGTATTGAAGAGGCATGAGAAAAGTCTTTAGTCTTGGAAGTAGATAAGGCGGACTGTTTAGTATTGGGAAAAGACAGGGTCTTGGTAAGTTGATTCAAGGAGCCAATGAAAAGTCCACACGTTTTACAAATATATCGGTCGGTTCGGTTTTGGCGAATTATACACTTCTACAACCGTTACTTGACCGAATATAGAACGCGTTTGAACAATTTAACTCGCTGCCGACCCAACGTAATTCGAAGCTGTCCGCAACTATGTTGGATTAGTCGAATTCGGTCTGTTTTTTGGGATGATTCGGTTATTTGAACACCCCTAATATGATCCATGCAACCCTCTCACCAATCCTACGTAGGATCCCATTTTTAACAACCATGTCCAAGACACAGACCACAATCAATCCAACTAGGTTCCACTGAGTGTTTTATGGGCTTCAATTTTTGTACAATTAGATTACATGGGAAATTGCAGTTTTATGGGCATCTCTATGTTGTACCACATTGAAGAGAAAACCCTTAATCGGTTGTGGAGAGAGAATTGTGCAGGCTCATTCATAGGAGTTTTGAGCATGATGTTAGCTGTATCTTACACTTTTTATTCTGTGTCTCTCTGCTTGCAGGTCGTGGCCATGGGAGGGGATACCGTGGAAGGGGTCGTGGTTTTCGATCTAATGGGCTGATACATGCAGCTGTTGCTGTTGGAGGCGCTTGACTGGTCACCTCTGGACACAACACAATGCAGCGTTTCGACTTTATGATGTGTTTGGATGCTTGCTCCATATCTCTATCTGTGTTTACCTTTTTTCTTTCCTTACTAATTTCAGTTGAAGGAAGTAGGAAGATGTACACTAATTTCGCTGAGTATGCAACTGCAGCTCCGCATTTGGTAGCCTTTTTCATTTTACATTTTTAATAATCTTTTTAAAATTTTCGTAGAGGTTGGTGGATGTCTGAATTAGTGTAATTGGTTTTGTCAAGTGAGAACCACATTCTTTTATTTGTGAAGTTTTTGAAATTAATCTGTCACCAAGTTTTGCATTTTATGAAGTCAATAATGTGTACATTAGCATGGCCCTTCATCAATTGGGTAAACTCTCTAGTAGGACTAGCCTATACTATGTCAATAATGTGTACATTAGCATGGCCCTTCATCAATTGGGTAAACTCTCTAGTAGGACTAGCCTATACTATGTGATGTGTTTTTCGATTGTAAAGAGGTAACTATTAGGAATACTTACATATAGGTCTTATAAGTCCCTATAAGTGGACTTATTGTTTACAAAGTCTTGTGGGAAAAATTTATTATAAAAAAGTCACTAATTGTAAATTTTAACGATAATTTATAAAAATGATGACAAAAAAATTAATTTTAGTGATAATTTTATTCAAATTTATTTTTAATAGGACTTGCTTAACTATTAGGATTTATTGGTAGTTATTTTTCTCTTCTTTTTTTTTTTCACCATATATTTTAGATGAAATTATTATATACCTCTACTATTAGAAAAATTATTTGGTGGTTGGGGGTATCTTGATGTCCACTACTAACCCAAACACAAAATTGCAGGCTTCACTCTCAGCTAATTACAACACTTCCGGTACACCAATTATTTTTCGGGAGAGTGTACAGCAGGCACTGTTGTGCGCCAAAAGGCCAAAAAAAAGAGAAAAAAAAAAAAAATATATCTGAAATCTCTTGGTTTTGCATGCACGGCACAGCAGGCACCCCTTGTTCTTATTTTTCCCGCTATTGGGTGGAAAATAATGTTATGTATTAATTGCTATACTAGTTAGTGTATTAATAGTTAATATGGTATAATTTTAAAATTTTTGTAATTTATATAATGATGAGATTGTAATTTTTAAATAATAATATTATAATTATATTAATATATTAATTAATATATCAATTGATACATTTATATCAAGAAAGTGGGTGGCAAGTTGAGGTAACTTGTAATCAATCAGACACGGTGAGGGAGTGGTCGATAGCTTTTTATTTGGGCTTTTACTTTTTTAAGAACCTCACAAGGGTTACCTCTTTTTTATTATTTATTTATTTTTTGGACCCTCACAAGGATGGATCGGATATACAGGATATCTTTGATAATTATTATCGATGATGAAAATATAAATTCACAAAAAACAACATAAGTAATTTGTAAAGTCAAGATCGGCGTCTACAAAGTTCAAAAGATGCAGGGAGGTTGGGGGAAGGTGACTGCGCAGACATCAGTAATGGGTCTTGCATTGCAAAGCCAAACCAAATCAAAAGGTTCTTCATTGTGAGTTTTAATAAAGAATAATGCTTGGGACTCTTTTTGGGGGTCACCTCTCACCCCTTTTGTCACGTGGTAGGGGTGATTGGAGGAGCAGGAAAAAAAAGAAAAAGAAAAAGAAAAGGTAACCAATGAGAGATGGAAAATGGTGGCAGGTGATGGCTAGTGTTGGATGGTAAAAAAAAAAAAACTCAAAACTCAAAACGGAAACACTTTTTTTGAGTTTACATTTTTTGGCCAAATTTATAAACTGAAACCACTGATTTATAAATAAAAAATTTACCAAACAAGTTTTTATTTGAATTTTTTAAATCTTTGTAAATATAAACAGAAAACTAAAAACGTAAGTGTTACCAAATGGTACCTTATTGATTGTGAGATTAATAAATGAGTTCTAATGAATTTTAATATGAGTGAATCTTGTGATGTGATATTTTGATTTTGATTTTATTTTTAATTTTTTTTTATTTCTTGTCATATTATTAGAGTCGATTAGAGTTTTAAAATTAGAAAGATGTATTATTGCTTAATTAGAAATTACGAATGACAAATTTAATTAAATAATGTTACATGTATCGATTAATCTATTAATAGATAATGCGTGATAATTTTAAAATTTTAAAATTTATAAAATGAGTGTGGCCAAAATTTTAAAAATATGGATGTGGACCTCTTTTTTTATTATACACAAGCACTATTTTGATTGGGAGGTTGGCGACTCGATAAGATTTTAATACTAGTTATTTGTTAGACTACCATGACGCATATGCTTTGGTCATCACCCTCACTTATATTTTGCTTCTGCCTTCTCTCTCTCTCTCTCTCTCTCTCTATATATATATATATATATATTTTTCTCTCAAACCCTCAAGTATCGGTGCAAGAGGAGGGAGAGAGAGATGGACAACATCAGCCAAGACGTAGAAGACATCGTTATAGTGGGTGCTGGGATATCTGGCCTAGCTACATCTCTAGGTCTTCACAGGTGAGATACAATAAAATAAATCTCCTTTGTCTCTCTCTCTCTCTCTCTCTGTGATCAATTCTTAGCTCAATTGGTTTTGGATCAATAAGTATTGAAATGCAAAATAATAATGAAGTTGGGTATGCTATATATATATATGTTGTATGGGTGTGCAGGTTGGGATTGAGAAGCGTGGTGTTGGAATCATCAGACAGATTGAGAATAACGGGGTTTGCTCTATTACTATGGACAAACGCTTGGAGGGCTTTGGATGCTGTTGCCATTGCTCACTCCCTTAGGCAACATTATCCTCAGCTTCGCGGGTGATCCCTTTTTTTTTTTTCTTCTTTTTTTTGTGGGTAAAATCACAAGGATGCTGAGTTTGTTTCTTTTAAAACTGATAGGTTACTGGGTTTGGCAGTTTTCAGGTGGCTTCTAATGTTACAGGTCTTTCTTCAGAGATGACAATCGGTGGCAAAGGAAAAGAGTGAGTAATATTATCATCATGCTGATCGATTACTGCTGCTAGTTTTTTTCTTTTTTTTAAATGTAGTGATTAATTTTCAATGTCAAGAGATAACCCTCCCGTGTTTGATTTCTATATAATTTTTTAATTGAATTAAACTGATATAATGTAAATAATTAAGAATACATTGGATATAATTAAAATTGCATAAATTAAATTAATATAAGAGATAAATTACAAATACTATATATATGATTTATTATTAAGGATTGAACCCCACGGTTCCGGATTGGAACCGATCCGAACCGTATACAAATAGTCTATATTTTTATTATACATTCTCTCCCATAGTATCTTCTCTTAATTCTATATAAAATCTAAACTTAAACCTAAAACCGTATAATATATTCTTTTATTACTCTTGTTTGTTGGTTTTTAGTTTTAAGTTGTAATGGTTTAAATACTTATAGTTAAACAAATTTTCTTATGGTTGTTTAAATTTTAGAATAGTATGTCGCTATTATAGAAAAATATGTTGCTATTGTGGAACTAATATAGTGCTATGTTTATATTTTTATAAAATTAAAGTGTTATAAATATATTTTTGTTATTTAATTATGTGAATCCGTGGTCCTAAACCGATCCAATCCGTATTTAAATGGATTGGTTCGGATTGGTTCCATAATTTAAACGGATTGGATTGGTTCCAATTTTTTAGGAACCGTAGATAACGGATTGGTTCTGGTTTTATCCCAATCCGGTCCAATCCGGACCATGCTCACCCCTACTTTTTTTTAAATGTAGTGATTAATTTTCAATGTCAAGAGATAACCCTCCCGTGCTTGATTTCTATATAATTTTTTAATTGAATTAAACTGATATAATGTAAATAATTAAGAATACATTGGATATAATTAAAAATGCATAAATTAAATTAATATAAGAGATAAATTACAAATACTATATATATGATTTATTATTAATTTTTAAAAATTTAAAACTTTAAAAAATTGAGAATATTCAATAGTCTTTATTTTATGAGCAATGCTAAGAATATACTCACATGGATGTGGACCTGTATTGATTCCACACTTGTGTTTGTTAAATTTTTTTGTTTTATAATACTTCTACTTATATTATTTGGTGGGCAAATAGAGCAAATATCTACGTCATTTGGTTCGACACAGATGTCTTTTTTTCTATGTAATAGTTTCAGTGAAAACAATGATAAAAATATCTACGTACACATCATTTTGTGTTTTTGATGGTCTTAACTCATCTTCATTAAAATATCATATACACATCCAATTGAAGAAGTCTTATTGGATTGTGGTGAGCTCATTTCTTGGCCTATCACAATCATCAGAATTGATTATGTTGTAAGATTCACTTTAATAGAGTAATCATACAACAAATTAAGATAATAAAAAATTAATAATGATATAGGCTGTGTTTTAACAGAGTAATCATACAATAAATTAAGATAATAAAAATTAATAATGATATAGGCTGTGTTTGGAAAGTGGGTTAAGAAGTGAAAATAACCTAAGAGTTGGAAAAAAGCAAACAAAAAAATGAATAATGCTTGGGACCCCCTTTTGGGGGTCACCCCCTCACCCCCTTTTGCCACGTGGCGGGGGTGATTGGAGGAGCAGGAAAAAAAAGAAAAAGAAAAAGAAAATGTAACCAATGAGAGAGAGAGGGGGTCAAAGGGGGTAGGAGGAAAAGGGGGATGAATCATTGTTGCAAAAAAATATGTCACCTGATTGTGGCAGAGCTTGTCAAGTACGCGAAAAGACAATTTTGCCTTTGAGAGTTTTTGAAAGCCGCATCAATTATTCGATTATTAGAGGTAATTTTGTTATTTTTCATTTCAACATCATTTTAAATGTATTTTTTAATATAACAATTAAGTAAAAAATTTAATCCATTTTTTCAAATGCAAAAATTAAAATAATTTATTAAAATAGTTAAATAGTCAAAAAGTAAAAAAAATAGTCACTTCTCAAACGAGACTATAATTGGATCACAAATTTTCTTTTTCATTTTTATAAAAAGATTATCTATTTTCAAAGCATATTTATCACCAATTTTTTAAAAATAAATATAATTTGTGTCTTATTAATATCTAATCAATTTAATTTTTTTCATTAATTGTTGAATAGGCTTTAAGCTAATGTTTGTTTGTCGGATTAAGTTGGATAAGTACTATGATCACATTTATTTGTTGGATTAAATTAAATGAGATTATAAGTATAATGAGATTGAACAAAAGGGATTACTAAAATAGTAATATTAGGTTAATGGAGATTGAATCTATAAAATTATGTAAAAAATT